CTCTTTATTTCTCTCTTTCAATTTTTCTTTTCCCATTTTAACTTCTGCTATGCTCGCCCTACCGCCACTCTTGTCTTCGTACAACACAAACTTATTTAACCGTACTCATTTTTCTATCGACTTCAATCGTCTCTGTCATAATTCCACTTTCTGCTTTTTTTTCCATTCTCTCTCTCTCTCTCTCTCTCTCTCTCTCTCAATTCTTTATCATTTTTTTTATTGTCTTTCATTGCCATAAGAATTTTTCCGTTCGTTGAGAAAACTTCAGATATCAATACCATGCGTTTACGTCTTTTTCTTGAACTTCATTTTCCTTTGTATTCGTTAATTTAAGTAAAATTTTTTTATTTGAAATATTTCTTATCCTTTCATTGCCACGAAGATGAATAATCCATGTTTATAATATGTGTCTATAATGTAACTATTTCGTTTGATATTGGTTCCTTTCGTTATTATTATTATTATTTTTTTTTTTTTTTTTTTTTTTTTTTTTTTTTTTTTTTTTTTTTTGAAGAAGAAGAAGAAGGTCGAATCGTTTGGCTCAAACGCGACTGTCAGATATCAAATTAACGATGGTATATTATATTTTCGATATATTCATTCAATGGCTAATTGCATCCTGATAAAAAGTCACGTGCTGTCGACGCATATCAAGATGGCGATTGGAAATAGCACGCGAGTCCTCTCGGTTGCTACTCGATCTGCTCTTGATTAGCTCTGCAAAACAACCCCCGAATACCCTCTTGAGTTATCGTTATACAACCCCCTCGTCTCTTGCAGTTCGTAACTCTTCGTGCAGGTTGCACGTGCCAACAATTGTTTTGAAAAACTTTCGCAGCTGCGTATTCTCATTACGAAGAAAATGAAACGGGACAGAGAGAGAGAGAGAGAGAGAGAGAGAGAGAGAGAGAGAGAGAGAGAGAGAGAGAGAGAGAGAGAGAACGTTCGAATAACAAGCGAAACATTAACAAAAAAACATTATTATTAACAATGACAATCGTCCTATCATCTTTTAATTGAAAATAATATCAAATCAATTTGGCACATAGATAAAACAAATAATCTCCAATGATTTTACACAATTTAATTAATAATTAATAATTCATGCATATTTTATTTCTCTCGATTACATGAACGTCAGCACTTTCGAAGATTTGCAATTTCGTAATAGTTACTGCAACGTTTCGCAAGTATTGTCCTTGTACAAAAAAAAAAAAAAAAGAAAAAAGAAAAAGAAAAAGAAAACGGAGAAAAGAAAGAAAGAAAGAACGAGAGAAAGCAAAAAAAAAAGACGCTTCAGCTGACATTTCATTGAGTATGCAAATTTTGTGGGACGTGAAATGAGTTCATGGTTTGTGGTACGAGTTAGTACTCGAGTTAGTACTCGAGAGATTTTTAAAGGAAAAAAAAGAAAAGAAAAGAGAGAGAGAGAGAGAGAGAAAGAGAGAGAGAGAGAGAGAGAGAGAGAGAGAGAGAGAAAAGAAGTGATTATCCTGATTCGAAGAAGAAACGCCGATCGTTTTGGTCGTCGCTCCTGTTAGGGAGGTCTCTGCCATTTCACAGAGTGATGTCATTTAAGTATTGTATTTCGCTTATCGGCACCGGATGCCGTCGATTCCTCGTGGAACTCGCAGCATTTCAGGAATGCGAATGCCGCCGTTTTCTGCAACGAAGATGACTGACAATCTTCCTCTCTTCAGCCTCTCATTCGTCATATTTATCTATGAAACATAATCAATCGATCGATCGATCAATAAGTAAAATCTAATTTAGAAACTTATTGATATTATAAATGATCTATTTGAATTTCATCGTTACTCTATTATTCAATGTTTATTCTTTTTTATACCATATTTTATACCATAATTAATGTCCAATTTTATACCATAATTAATAAACCTATGTCTAATCATAGGTTTATTAATTATGGTATAAAATTTGAAATAAAAAAAGAAAAGAAAAAAAAATTGATCCTATTCATTTATAATAATAATTCATATTAATACCTAGATTGAATAAGATATTAGTTAGCTAATATCAATTTAGAAACATAAATTTAACGTCATATATCTAGATATTATTGTATCCTTTAGAACGATACAGTAAATGTATTCATTGTCAAGCTTAATATACTATGTCAGAACAAACAGTATCATGGTATATTAATCCTATTATCTGTCATTGCAGTGATTAATGGGAAATCTCTCATAATCACAAATTGTTAATCATAAAATATAAACATAACATAATATCCGTCTATTTACTTTTCTCAAATATAGACAAATATTTACGAGTTAAGTTTGTTAATAAAATTGAGTAATAAGAAAATTATACGATGAAAATCTTTTTCGTAATATTCGAATATGACGTCGAGTTTGTTAATTGGAATTCTCTTTATATATATATATATATATATATATATATATATATATATATACATATATATTATAAAATAACGTATTATCCTAGTTAGAAAATTTTTACGATCGCAGGAGGGATATTAATTACGTCAATGTTTCGAATTCGAAGGATATCAGATCTCCTTCGACGTTGTCCATGGCTGATGCCTTCTGGAAATGGGTTACGAACACGTGTCTCCTCGTTCATACTGTGATGGGGACGAAAACAAGATCTCCCTAATGCGACGCTATCGAAATGGTATTCCGTTTCTCCTATGTACGAATCGACCGGTATCGTCCTAGTGAGAGCGAGGAGAAATACTGTTTTCAAAACTGGGATAACGTGACCGTTCGTTGTCATAACAGTGATCGTCCGTATACTTCTCTCTTCGCTCATGGATCCGATCGATAGATCACTCCGATCGATATCTATTGGAGAAAGGAAAAAAAAAAAGGAAAAAGAAAAAACATTGATGATTTTTATAACATCGTTACGAATAGAAATTATTTCCTTTTAATTATTTATTAACGTGTTGACGTTAAGTTCAATATATTTTTTTTCTTTTTTCTTATCTTTTCCTTTTCTTTTCTTTTTTTTTTCTTTAATAAAATTTACACGAATTATATTTTTACATCACGTTCTCTCTTACTTTTCTTTAATTGAACTTGAAAGGAATAGGGGAAAGTTGAAAATAAATAGCAACAATGGGAAAATATATTGTTAATTTTAACAAAAAATTAAAAGGGAATATATATATATATATATATTACATATATATATATGGCTGGTACCAGGTCACCTTAAGTAAGGCGATAAACGACGATGAGATTAATCGATGTTTTGTGTTATGACTATCGCATATCTGTACGATCCTCTTCCTTCCTTTCTTCCCTCTCCACTTCCACCCCCATACTTTATTCGCGTGTTCAGTCAACGAGAAAGCTTTATCGGTCCTTGCTCGATAAAATTATCGTAATCATTTAGCGAGGATCGCATATTTCTCCCTTTGACCTAAACGATTAGCCCCCTTTCTAGTGTTTCACATCCCTTTGTTCTTATCTTTTCGCATAACCCACTTTTTAACCTTTCTCGTCGATGATAAAAATCAACGACGAACAATGATACAAAATAAAAATAAAAACATTAAATAAAATAATAATAATAATAATAATAATATAAATACAGCTTAAGTAATATAAATAAATGCATAAATTTTTATTGAAATTGAAATAAAAATCTTATCTAAACGTTATATCATAATATTCAATTAATAATTAGACATAGAGGAATACTTATAGAAGTAATCATGATTAGAAGTAATCATGAGGAAAACTTTTATCGTGAGATATATATTATATTCTTTCGATAAATTCGGTTCGATTAAAATATAAATAAATAAATAAATAAATAAATAAATAAATAACAATAATAAATCTTCATCCGAATTGAAACGGGGAAAATGTAAAACGATATCGACGAGCCTGAAAGTGGAGATCGATGGATCGATCGATCGATCGATCGATAACTCAAAGAAGAAATAAGTAGTACGTGCATTTTCTGCGTTCTCCTTCGATTGAGATTCTAAGAAATCTCTTTAGTACACAGGCCCGTGTGTAGGCGAAGAACAATTGGACCGTTTAAACGGAACTTGTCTCTGACACCCGAGGCGCGCACCGAGCCGATGTTTAGTACGAGATATCCGATATACGAAGCGATAAAAGGCAACCGGCGAACGCTCGACCGTGCTTGGAAGCGTGACTAATGCGAGCATGGCTATAGCAATGACTTATATGCCCCTATATCCGTCACTTTTCAAATAAATAAACCTTACGTACCTCCCGCGAGCACGAGACGCCATTATCTTATACGTACGATTATTACGATTGATTATAGCATTTCCTCAATTGTTTTCTCCTTTTTATGGAACACAATGAAATTAATCATAGGTTTATTAATTATGGTATAAAATTTGAAAAAAAAAAAAAAAAAAAAAAAAAAAAAAAAAAAAAAAAAAAAAAAAAAGAAAAGAAAAGTAAAAATATAATTTCGATTTTCTTTACCGACGGTCGGTAAAAGAACATTGGCGGCAAATTTGAATTCGTTAAAGTGAAGCTCGTGTTAAATCGAACGAACGGTATGAAATAATGGATTTTCCATGTAACAAAATCGGAAAATTCGTAGTTTCTTAGTTAGAAACGAGCGCGTACGCGGTGTCGAGTGTATCGGTAGAGTGAGGCACGTGTAACTGGAACGGGATGTAATTGGACACCAATAACCCACGTACACGCCGCCGGCGTGGTAAAAAGAGATGACGAGGGAGTGAGAGAGAAAGAGGAAGGAAGATAGATGGGGAGAACGTAGAAGGCATGAAAACAAAAAATTGAGGGAAAAAGATTTTTCCCGAACAAACGATCGATTTCATTTCACTCGAATATCCTATCTATTTTGATGATGATTCTTCTATATAATTGATCAATCGATAATAGATTAACGAACGGTTACTTTTGCTTTAATTGTTTTTATGAACGAACGATATGAACAAACCTAATAAGACTTAATAAACTTTATTAAGATAATCCAAAAGATATTATTTTCCGCAGTGAGCAGTTTTATGTCGGATCTACAAAATGGTTACATGATCAATGCTTCGAAAGATTTGGAATCTTCCGTATCTACTGGTATCAACAAAAGTCTAACTACTCATCATCCGTCCTTGAGTCTTCATCATTCACACCATAGCTTGCATAGTCCGAATTCGACGATTTCAATGCACTCTTCTACACCATCCCAACAACAACAACAACAACAACAACAACAGCAACAGCAGCAACAACAGCAGCAACAACAACAGCATCATCATCTGGAAGATAAAGTGTCCTCCCCAAGTGGAGGACTTCATAGTTCAACGACTAATAGTAATCCTTCGACACCCTCTGCACCATCAACGCCTACTGCTGGTACAGAAAACAGTGCTGGATCAAATACAGCTACTATAACGAATAATAATAACAATAGTAATGGCAATCCTGCTTCAACTACAGCCAGCAAGCCGCCTTTCAGTTATGTTGCTCTGATTGCCATGGCGATACAACACAGTGCACAAAAAAGGGCGACTCTTAGCGAAATTTATGCGTATATCACAGCCAAGTTTCCTTATTTCGAGAAGAATAAAAAGGGCTGGCAAAATTCTATTAGGCATAATTTATCATTGAACGAGTGTTTCGTCAAGGTACCACGTGAAGGTGGTGGCGAAAGGAAGGGCAACTTTTGGACTCTCGGTATGTCAAGTCTGTTTTCTGTTTATTCTTCTTTTTCTTTTTTCTTTTTTTTTTTCTTTCTTTTTTTTTTCCAATGATAAAAGTTTTGCCTTCTTAAAACTTCTTTAATTTATTCTTTGAGAATTATAAGGAAAAAGAAAAAAAAAAAAGAAAGAATTTATAATTAATATATCAGAAATAAATTGTCGATTAGAAATCAAATGTTTTTTTTTTTGTTAAATAATTGATAACAATCGATTGGTAATCATTTTTCGTTCACGTAGATCCCCAATACGAGGACATGTTTGAAAATGGTAACTACAGAAGACGCAGACGTATGAAACGTCCATACAGAAATGCTCCTTATCACAAATCTATCTTTGGCGATCCTTTCTCGCCGACACATGTCCATCTTGGTCCTAGAAATTTATTCGCCCATACACCATCTTCCTATGCACCTACTACTTACGCGCGATACGATACGAGGTATTTCTTTATCAAATAATATTTTTAACATATTATTTATGTTGCTTGCTTTCTTTCCTTCTTCTTCTTCTTTTTTTTTTTTTTTTCTTTAATATAATATCTAATTAATTCCCCGATTTTAACTTCCAATCGTTCTGGGATAATATTATTCAATAACAATTTTGCAGATCCTCATTGTTAATCCACGAAATTAAATACGATAAAATTAACGATACGACGACGGAAAATGTTTATAAAAAAAAAAAAAAAAAAAAAGAAAGAAAGAAAAATCTTCTGCAATTATTGTATATCCACATTTCGTTTCAGTGCATGGAGTCTTCAGCAACCACAATTATCCTATAGTCATTGCCAGTCGGTAAGAAATATATTAATAATCTATCTTTATACGTTTCGTTTTCTTTTCTTTATTAAATTCGTAATTTGCAGCTTCAACCACAGTTACAATCGATGCAATCGATGCAGATACCGACGATGAACGGTTATAGTCAACTGAGTACTTCGTTAAGTGAGTCTCTGCTCTATCCTCCGAACTTCAGTTCTTTGAGCTCGCGAGTTATTAGACGACCGTGCAAAGCTTTTCAAGGCAATTACCTGGATGTTCCAGGTGGAACGACTGGATCACCAGGAACTATGAGCAGTGGATCATTTGGTAGCACCTTCACGGCATGTGGTAGAAGACACGAAACCAGCATGGCGACTGAAACGATGCCAGCAAGGTGCTATTGGCCAGAAAGTGAGTTCATTTTTATTTAACATTTACAATACGTTAACGATTTAACACTTTCGTGAATATAACATCGACAATTTAATTTCTCATGTGATTTCTTTTTATTATTTGTTCTCCATGTAATTTTTATGTGTAAACATTTCATAATTTTTTTTTCTTTTTTTTTTTTTTTTTCAATATCTTCTTCCACCCGACTAGTATTATAGAAGAGTAGAAGAATAGAATCATATATCTGAAGAAATTTTCGATATTTATAAATTTTCTTTCACGAAATGCAAGAAGAAGAATATCACTCGTTGTTAGCTAAGAGGATTAATATTATTATCGATTCTACGATAATCCTCGAATGAACATTGGTAACATTATAGAGAGAGGGACGTAGCTCCTGCGAAAGTGTTAATTCTCGTTAATTAGATTATTCAATGGATTTATACATATATCACAGTGGTGAACGTGAAAGAGGAACCAGGTAGTACCACGGCATCGACATCAGCCGTCGGCGGTGTTCCACCGACCATGATGGGAACAACGGTGCCATCGAGCGTTACCGCACCAGCTTTTCCCTCCGTCGAATTTCAAACGCGATCGAAGTGTTTCATGTGAACTGTTTAATCAATCGATTCGATATGAAAAAAAAAAAACAAAAAACAAAAAAGAAAAGAAAAAAAGAAAAGGAAAACCGATTTTTTTTTTTTTTTACTTTTGGTACGTGAATACGTGCCAAATGGATTCGAGAATTTTTCTTTCTCTCTCTCTCTCTCTCTCTCTCTCTGTACCGTTCTTTTCTTCTCTTTTTTTCTTCGAATAATTTTTGTTAAAAGATATGACGTCTTTAAATGGAAAGGGAATGGATGAAGGGTTGTGGGATGGATGAGGGTTAGAAGAAGAAAAAAAAAAAATAGAAACAAAACGAATTTAAAATCGAAACGAAGAGAATTCGTATACGATATTTTCTATTTCTGGATGACTGGAAGCGAAATATTCTAGGATTTTCATCCGCGTTCCATTTCGAGTCTTTTGAGAGAAGATGACACCGACGAAGGACGAAGAGAAAACGAATGAGTCTGGTAAGCAACGAAGGGGGCGATGACGACGTGCAGGATATATCGTCGCGAACCATTGAAACGTTTCTCTGAGAGTCATGTGAGAGAATAAAAGTGAAAGAAAGAGAGAGAGAGAGAGAGAGAGAGAGAAAAGAAAAAAGCACGAATGCTTATCAATTTGCACGGTAAACCTATTCCTTTCCTTCCGTCAACGCGACGATATCTCTTCTCTCTTATTTCTTTACCTATTCGAATATTTATTTAAAAATATCCGAGTAAAAAAATAAAAAAAAAAAGAAGAAAAAAGAAAAAAAAAAGAAAGAACAGAACTGTAAAGCGACACTTATTATAACTGCAATGAAATGTAACGAAGGATGTATAAATGTTCTACGAAAATTATAGCAATATGTCCTTCTATCGTAGAGATGAAAGACTATGACGATAAGGACGCTTAGATTATTATTTGAATAACTCTATTATTATTACTTATTATTATTATTATTATTATTATTATTATTATTATTATTATTATTATTATTATTATTATTATTGTTATTATTACTATTAATTAATATTATTTTTATTATTATTAAACGATCTTACGTTCTTATCGTTGACGTTTTTTTCACCGCTGTAAATAATTAGTTAAGTGCACTGTACCAATTGTGAACAGATGATGATAAAAATAAATTGTTTGTCGTCCATAAATCGCATTTATTTATTTATTTATTTATTTTTCTTTCGTATTACCTTTCTCCTTCTTTTTCTTTTTGTCGTTCGATATTCCAGACGTTCAATCCATCGCAAGAAGCTTATTCTTGTCCGATTAATGAAAAAAAAAAAACAAAAAAAAAGAGGAAGAAAAAATACAAAAAAATTATTAGTTTTATGCATTAATATACTATAAGATTTATTTTACACATGTATATATATATATATATACACGTACTTTAATTTTTAATTTTGTTTTAACAAATATAATGTCACCAAAAAAACGATGAAAATAATCATTAACGAATCTATGAAACGAGTCAACGCATTTAATATTAATTATAATTAATATTAATTATCGTAGATATCAGATAGAAATATGATTGATTTATTGTCTGAATCATTTCGTTTGTCCGAGTAAAAAGTATTCATAGATGTTCGAAATTAATGGTCAGAGCGAACGGAAAAAGAAAGAAATAGCTGCTGGCCGGACGTTGGGGGAGGACCAATGGACGGCGATGTTTGCGGAAACATTGTTTTCCAAACAGAACGTGCACCGTGTGCGTTTTAATATACCTACCTATCCCGTAAAACGTAGAGAAAGCCGCGTCAACACTGTGCGTGCATCGACTGCAAGAATAGCACGTGCACTTTATTTTCCATGCGACTCGAACTCACCGATGGCCATTTTTCATCCCCATCTCTCTTTCTCTCTCTATCCTCTCTCTCTCTCTCTCTCTCTCTCTCTCTCTCTTTCTCTCTCTCTTTCAATAATTATTATTAGTATATTCCTTTATCATTATTTCCAAAGTAAAAAGGGAGACATGTACAAATTGCAATATTGGTTGATATTGATATTAAATACGATAATTATAATGTTAATTAATTTTGATTGAAAAAAAAAAAATATATATATATATATATAAATTTATCGTACGTTTAATTTAAATTTTATTAATTTTATTAACAAATTGAATTGTTATCAGATCTATACTTAAAGAGATTATATAAATTCATACTTTTATCATTAATATTTTAATCATGGAATGTATTATGCGATTTATGGATCGTAATATTTTATTATTGTTCGTTCTAAAATGTCTTAACAATTCGAAAGATAAATTGATATTAATCATTTGGAAAATTGAATCTAATTTGAATTCGATTAAATTGTTTCAGTGAAAATATTCATTTTTAACAGTAGAAATTTTTATTTTGTATCGTGCCACCTGTGCCCATAAGAAAACCGATTTAGAACGAGTTTAACGTCTCTCGAAGGCCCGCGACGTAGAAAATTTCTTAAGAAACTCTTACGTTGAACGAACGCGCAACAGCTGTTCGCGTGTCTTCCGAATTTTTTATTCATATTTTATTGTTCCTCTTCGACATCGACTATGGCGATTAGAACAAAAACAAGAAAAAAAGAAAAAAAGAAAAAAAGAAAAAAGTAAAAATCTATAAATATCCTTACGTTTTTTCTGCTTTAATTTTATATAAAAGAAGAGAGAAAAAAAAGAAAAAAGAAAAAAGAAAAAAAAAAATAAAGATAAATAAATTAAACTAATGCCGCTCCTAAAAGGATTTTTCAATTAGCAACTTTTCCGTATTGTTTCATTATAAAATATATTTTATTCATCTACGTTTGTCAAAATAATGAAATACGAATTATATTACACACACACACACACACACACACACACACATATATATATATATATGTAATTAAGTCATCAGTTATGCGTTTATAAATCATCGTGTAGTGTTTCGTATTACGTAGGATGCCCATTTGATGAATTTAAATAATTTACAATTATTATCGTGTTTTTAATCATTGAAAAAAAAAAAAAATAAAAAAAAAATAATACTACAAACGGGATGCATTAACGAATTTTATCAGATATGTAAGTAGGTAGTTCTTTTGTTTTTAATTAATTTTTAATTAATTATTATAACGTATTCGTTATGCTACGCAATAAAAGGGACGTATGAGAATATAATTAACGGAACGTTTAAATATTGTCCCTGGAGAATTCATTTTGGGAAATAGTTTCTTACGTCTCTAAGAACGGAGGTGTTAACGACGATTACGTTTTAACGTCACTTTTTTTTTCTCTCTTTCCTCTCTCTCAACATGTTCCTTTTTCTTTTTTTTATGATGAATATTGTTTTTTGATGAATATGGTGACGTTTTTGAAGGAACAAAGTCCCATGGGACCTCATCATCGTTCTTTCTCGCGGAAAATTTTCTTTCGAAAGAATGAATAAAAAAAAAAGGAAGAAATATTAATAAAAATTCGAATTTAATAATACATACCTATATACGCAGGATGAGCTATTTTATTTTAAAGAAAATAAATCAAAATGATCGAATAAAATTTTCAATTTTTCACACGTTTCAAAGCGTATGTATTAAATATCTCTCCCTGCATATAACAAGTATCGAAATATTTGTACACAATTTTCTTTCAATTATTTAAATGAAAATATATTATTTAAAAATCGTTTACTATCTTGGCGTAAAATTATTAAAAAAAAAAAAAAAAAAAAAAAAAAAAAATGAAACAAAAAAAAGAAAAAACCCACATAAATAAATAAATAAATAAATAAATATACGTAAGCGATAAGTTTATTTGTTATTTTAATTGTCGCTAATGAAGAGAATTATTTGCGAGATTGATTTTGGTAAGAGGTTGTGATGTGTTAAGAAAAAAAAAAAAAAAAAAACAAAAAAGAAAAAGAAAAAAAAATGATCTATCGTTCGCGCTACGTCGGTGAAATACGATATAAAAAGGTCGACGTCGATGAGCGAGAGTTATGCGAGCGACGAAGTGGATTTAGTCGAACACTGTAAGGGACCGTTTTAACGAACGTAAGTGCGTGTTAGTATACCGTTCGGTTGACTCCCTTTTAATCCGCCCATGAAAATGTTGGGTAATAAATATTACCGTTGATGCCGCGTCGTTACAAATTAACGTTCTTATCCACCTAAAACGTTTAAATGTCCTACATTAGATAGACAATGTTAGAAATTCAAATGTTGCTAAGTATATATTATCAATATAATTTTGTTTCTTCCTTTTTTTTTCTTTCTCTCCTCATCGACAGAACTTTAATATACTCGAACAATTAAAATACGAAATTACAAAATGATATTGAAGTTTGCAGGATAAGGAACAAACAAAAAAGACTTCTTTTCTTGTTAATTTTATAAAAGACACAAGATTTGTTTGTGATGTTAACGTAAGAGGAACAAAAAAAAAAAAAGGAAGAAAGAAACAAAAACAAGGAACAAAAGAAGTAATAAGCTTAATACACATAACAGGAAGGAAATTATTATGGCAAAACGAATCCAATTCGACAAAGAAACATTCGTAATAGATGATTTTCGAATGATCTACGATAGAGAAAAAAAAAGAAAAAGATGATAAAGAAAATTCTTTTAGAATAATTCCGCTATTTCGTTTTCGATATTGCCTTCCCTTTGGGCGGGGAGGGGGGTGGAGGTGGTGAACAAAAAAAAGGAAACAACAAAAGAAAAAAAAAAAAAAGAAAAGAAAAAAAAAGAAAAAAGAACAGAAGAGAAACAAATACCCTTCGATTTCCGACGTTGCGACGCGTCCCCCACCTTTTAAGGGTGTCCTCTCTCTCTCTCTCTCTCTCTCTTTTATCACATTTTTTTCTTTCTTTTTTTGGTTTTTTTTCCCCGTCCAAGAAAGAAGAGAATCAGTTTTGCAGGGTGCAAGGCAATGACGCGGACAATTTGTAGTCGGCCGTCAACGAGGCCTGTTTCTATTTTCGAGCAAACGCACGGGGATATCTTTTTCTCCTCCTCCCCTCCCTCCCTACCCCTCCCCTCCTCCTTCTCTTCCTCCTCCTGATCTCTCGTACGTCTTCTTTTTGCTTGGTTTTCTTTCGACGATCCAGTAAAGCGCGAGCGACGATGACTATACACGTAAATCCATGCGTCGGCGGGCTCCGTTTATAATTAAAATATACTTAATTTAAAATAAACTTAAAGCGATCCATAAATACATCTTGGAAAATTATACGAGATTGTACGACAATATAATTATCGTTAAATCGCCGTGAATGAGTTATCGTTGAATTAAACAAGAAAAGAAGAAAAAAGAAAAAAAAAACAAACATAGAAACAAAATATGAATCAAAAGAAAGAAATCAAGAAGAAACAGGATAGAAGGTTGTTATTTTGGGGGGAAAGAAAAATTATGAAAGAAATTATTTGCGATTGCATAAGGACCTGCTTGTGTTGCTAATAATATTTGATGAGTTTTGAATAAAAAGGAGTATGATGTCACAGTATGTGTCAATGACTCATTAAATCATAATGATTTCTTCACATTTCTTCGTGACTCTTTGCGACAAGCGTGAGAAGGATTCCCTCGTGCGTTTTGCATCAGCCAGCAAATTGAACTTTTTCGAATGCTTACGTAGCCTTTCCTTATTTTTTTTTCTCTTTTTTTTTTTTTTTTTTTTTTTTTTTTTTTTTTTTTTTTTATTACGGAGAACATTTCCAATATACTCCGTATTTCAATATGCTCAACTTTAAGAAACTTCTTTTCTTCAGATATTATTAAAATCCCAAGATTATATCTCAATG